CCTAACCCAAGCCCTCTCTGAGTCCAAAGAACTCATACTTCATATATCGCCCGTCGATCTCATTGAATGGCCTGAATATCGTTGGTATCGCCGGATATTGGAGTGCTTTAAAGCCGTCCCGTATTTTTTAATGACTTTATGCATACCTGTTGTCGACTTAGAGAGTCCTAAAAACAATTGGTGTCGACTCTTAACATGTCTTAATATTATAATTGCCCCACAAATTGGTGTATTCTTTCTAAAACGTAAGTTTAGGGCAAAATATTTCTTTTGTAAAAAATAATTATCAATTATAATTAATTAACACTTAATGTGACTTAAATGTATAGAAACAGACGTATTGATTGACGATAGTTTCCCGCTGTGGGCTATTTTGCTGGTTATTTCGTTTGCCATCTCAATTGTAATCTACTTGACGTCGGTTCACGACTCGCCACCCGTGTATCACAATGTGTTTGCATTCATTGGTTTTGGTATTTCTGTTTTGTTCATCAACTTTATCGCATCCGAAGTGATCAACATTTTGGAGACCATTGGTATTATGTTTAGTTTGAGTGATGCTATTTTGGGGCTCACAATATTGGCCTGGGGCAATAGTCTGGGAGGTAAATACAATTGTTACCATGTACATCTTCAAAATAAGTTTAACTCAAATTTATTCTAAACAGACTTAATATCGGACCTTTCGATGGCAAGGCATGGATACCCCGGTATTGGTATCTCTGCTTGTTTTGGTGGTCCACTACTCAGTAAGTGTTTCTAATTTTTAAAAAAAATATTAAAATAATTTATTAACAAATATTTATTACATTAAACAGACTTACTGTTAGGATTGGGTTTACCGTATACTATACTATTGGTTGATGAGACAGAGGATGATGGGATCGAGGTAATTTTTACAATTATGATTTAATTACCAAGTTTTTAATATTTATGTCTGAATTTATAGTTGGTGTACAACCGAATGGTGACCCTATTATACACGACAATATCAATCAGTTTGATATCATCTTTAAGTCTATTTATAATAAATAGATTTCAATCGAAAAAATTTCACGGAATTTATTTAATATGTATTTATTTAGTATATGTTGTCTTTGCTATACTCATTGAATCTGATATTTTGTAAATAATTATATTTCATGTATTTTTCAATACAATTTAATTAATCGTAAATATAATAATTTTAATATAAAGTTTATATTAAACATTTTATTTTTATTTTTATATTGCATTTTAATTGTAATTAAATAATTCATTTCAATGAATAAAATTCATAGAAATTTCATGTAATCAATCATTTCTACTCAAATCGATATCAAATTTTCATTAATAATTTGTATGAAAAGTGGTTTATAACAGAAATAAATGACGATTTACTATAAAATA